ACATATATATATATAAATTTTATCATTATCTCATAACGAAAAAAATATTATTTCCGATAAACTCAAATAAAATTGCATATAGACAGAGGGACTATAACATGAGTAGACAGCGAATATGAAATGGCACGGCATCTGGCTGTTAAGGCAATGACAAACTAATAACCATAATGATAACACACACCTAATTTGTTAGTAATCTTATCAATGAACATTTAAGTGTCAAATTTCCTAATTGGTTTTCTATAAATATACTCTTTTTTTCAACTTTAATTTCGATTTTAAATACTTTTAATTTTATATCAAATCTTCTCGTATATTTAAAATTGAAATAGATTGAACTTCCATTATATATAAAATTCAAAATAAATATCGAATCATTGATTATATCGAACATTATCATACACAAAATATGGAGACCAATTTGATGGATTTTGTAGTGAAGAAATTAAAAGGGGGAGTAATAATTGTTAGCAAAATAATTGGTGGATAATTAAAGAGGAAGGTGGATGAGTTATAGATACATTTACATTTGTCGGTTATGTGTTGTTGGTGTAGGTTAGTTGGATGGTAGGAATTAATTAGGTAATTAAACAACACTTTTTAAGCTGATTTTGACTCTCAACACTATATACTCGAGGTTTTAACCAAACTAAGCCATTATATAAAGTCATTCACTAAAATAATATATTTTTTTTAAAATTTTACAAAACTAGTATAAACATATTTCACAGTAACGTTTTAGGATATATTTTATTTTTTAAAAGTTGATGGCGTCAAATTGATTTTCGTTACTCACCGTAACGTTTTAGGGGTAAAACGTTACTGAAAATAACGTTTTAAAAGTAAAACGTTATTTACAGTAACGTATATCAACCTAATGCTGTTAGTTTTTAAAAAATAAAATATACCTTAAAACGTTACCGTGAAATACATTTATACTAGTTTTGTAAAATTTTAAAAAAATATATTACTTTGATAAATTATTTTATATAATGACTTAGTTTGGTTAAAAATTCCTCTATATACTCCATACATCCCTATGTTATTTTTTGGATTTGAGTCTTCTAAATATAAAATTATTTTTATTGAAAAACTTTTTACTAACTTTTCAGTTTAAAGTCAAATTTTATTTTTATTTGAAATTTTTTAACAAAAATTTAAGTTTATTTGATTCTTTTAAATAGATTAATAACTCATTTATTTAGTATCTCAATTTATTATGATATATTAAAATGAATTTTAAAATCAAAGACTATACTCTAACATCGGTAAATAGAACTGAAAGTCACGTAAACCACTTAAAAATAAATAAAAAGACATTAAAAAATTTATACCAAACTTTAGAGAATTGAAAAAGGAAAATGCACTTCGTTGTTAATTTGTTGCTACGTAAGTCATGTTTTTAGATTTTATTCGCATTCAGAAATTAAGTATGTTTATGATTCTAACTTTATATATAAGTCAATTTAGTAATAAACAATGAATAAATCCATCTTTTATTTCTAGTTTGCTTGTTGAAATTTCTTTTTCAAAATCATATTTTTATAGAGTAATGCAATAGTAAATTAATTAATGTGTGTAGTTATAATGATTATTAATTACTTATTAATCTTTTTTAAGTTAGATCAAATATCTATTTTCAAGATTAATTAATTATTAAGAATATAGTAAAAAACATATGATAATTTATGCATTGATATTATAAAATGATAAGTATTCCCTCTGCCTATTTTTATTTGTAATGTTATGTTTTTCGAAAGTCAATTTGATTAATTTTTTAATGTTAATTAAATTACATTAATTTGATATTTTAAATAAAAAAATTTAAATATTTAAAAATGATACAAAATATATTATAAATTGTGTCTTTTTACATATCAATACGATAAAAAAAAACATCGTAAAATATTAATTATTTTTTTTATAATTTAATTTTAAAATAAAAAATAAAAATAAACGAGGTAATATGATATCGAAAAAGTACTCGATTACACTAATCTCTATGTATGTAGATTTTCGATTAAAATTTAGAGTGATTCTTTATCTATTTTATCTAATCAATATCTTATTTGTAATTTGGTCACTACATTATATTAGTAATTACTAATGGTAAAATTTACTTTCAATTAACTTCAAACAACTCAAAGTTGTACTAATTAGATTGAAAGCTCATATTACATTACTATAATTGAGTGATAATTGTATATAAAATGTGTTTTGTTCCATAAATATTCAAATATAAACAAGAGTAAATTTTCAAAATTGATCTCTATTACTCTTTTCATTAATAGATCATATAACAAATTTAAGTATATAAAACTAAAATCTGACAGTGCTTGGACCCCAACAGTTCAGATCTATAACTTTACTCAACGTCTCTTCCGTTTTCCTCAGCTTCTCACCGGAGACGACTGCCGGAGAAGACGCCGCCGGCGCCGAAGCCGTCGAGAATCTCCGAGCCGAGGTATTACTAGAAGCAATTAAATTAGATTTGGCATAGTGATGAATCGATCTTAAAGCGTAATTCCATCTGGCAAATCCTTGATCTTTTAATGCTTCTACTGCTCCAATACTTGCTGCTACGATCCATGCCGATCCCTTTGCTGCTGCTGCATTCATTTTTTTTTTTGGTAGAATTAAAAAATTTCTGTGATTTTTGTTGATTGATTTGAGAATGAATTAGATGTTAATTGTGTATATATAAGTGGAGGAATAGTCTGGAAAACAGAGGGAAAAGAAAATGGAAATACGAAACTACTGGCGGATTTGCTTATAGTTTTGGAAAACATCCACAGTTTTTTTTATTTACCTGCATATAATAAAGTAAAAGGAATTAATTAGTGTGGTAATTGAGTACAGTTTCATCTAATTACACAAAATTGCCCTTCGATAAATACTAATCATACTCTATAGTTTGAAATATTACATATTATCTCATCAATTCATAATAAAAGAAATATAAATAAATAACAAATTATTAAATCAAATTAAATATTATAACTATGATTTGATTTAATTGTAACTATAGCAAACTGTTGTCATTTGACGCGCTCTCTCTTTCAAATTCCCCCTTGCCAGTCTCTTCCTCGCTTCATTCACTTTATACACAAATATATTATTTGTGTTTCTCTTTGTATAAAACGAGAAAAAATTATATATACACATACAAATACATTATTTTCGTCCTATACACTTGTAAAATACTATATAAATCTTTCTCTGTTCAGTTCTATTTGCCTTCCTCTGTTTCTCGCTTTATATAAACAAAAAATGTGTATTGTATTTTGCATAATATGTGTTTGTATAAAGCAAAAGAGAGAAAAAGAGATATTTGATATACAAATGTTTTGTTTTGAATCGATTGTATACAAATTCAAATTTTATACATATATACAAACACATGAAATTAAATAGAGAGACTATCAGCGATTTATACAACCAAGAGGCTACAATGATTTTATACGAATTTAATGGCCCCCCAGCAATTCATATGATCAGATGCTCCATATCAAACATAATTTTTTTCGTAAAGCGCAATTATGTAAACTATAATTATAAGCGCATATAACATAGGCATATGATTTTTATATTTATTAAATGCGAAAGTTGTTCTTGATAGTTTCATATCAAATCTCAAGTCAGATATATTGTTCCTTCCGATTTCAAGTCAATCCACCACTTTTTCAAATTTCAAATTGGATACTCATATTTTAAAATACATATACATAAAAAAGAGAGCTAATGTATTTAAAATACATATAAATAACGTTTAAATATAATATATGTGGAATAAAGTATACCTAATTTGATCCGTATATATATATATATATGAAATACATGATTTGACAAATTTCATGTGATATAAAAGATAAATTTAAAAATTAAAGAAAAGACATGTAATTAAATCTTACCTTAATGAAATTTGCATTGTTAGCAAAAAGACAAACTACGGCCGTTATGCACGTGGCTGAGATATGAGATACATGTATTTAACAAAATAAATATGATACAAAAAATAATTTTAGAAACAAAAAGAAAAGATGATAACTAGATTCTAAACTAATAAACATTGAGTTGTTAAGTAAAAAAAACAAACTAGGACAATTCATATGCAGATACATGTATCTAACAAACTAAATATGATCAAAAGATAATTTAAAAATTGAATAAAAAATTACGTAACTAAATTTTAGATTAGTGATACTTGTGTTGTTAACTACGAAATCAAACTGCGACAGCTCTGCACGCAGAAATCTTTCTTTTTTTTTTGAAGTCAGTTTCCTAGTTAGATAGGCCCACGGATTTTGGACGCATGGGTTATTCACCGGGTCATTTTTCCACTTTTGCCACTTTCGAGTTTGTCTATAATTTTTATTCTTCTTAACAAATAATTTCTTGACGAAATATTAATTTATATTTTTCATATTATTATTAATATCAACATAATGTATTAATGTACTTTTTAATTTAGTGTTAATTGAAATCTATCAATAAACATTTATATAAAATTTAATAGAACATATCTATCTGCTTGATTAATTTTTTTATACCAATTTAAGTGCTTACTCAAGCATAATTAAAATTAAATGAATATCAATTAAAGCCAAGTTAAATTGCACATTTATATGTATACATAAGTTAGTATTCAAATCCTTTATCCTTACTGACATAACTAACATGAAAAAGACGAAAATTGTTAAATGTCGGTCAAATCAAGTGTCATGACAGGTGCACAAATATCACCTACCTACCAATGAGATCCAGCTATTTTTTTTAACAGGTGATTCAATCAAGAAATTAAATCGACTATGAATACATGAATTTAATTAGTCAATTTATTAGTAAAATATTATCACGACGGGTGAAGTTACCAAAGTCTCCACACATATATTGCATTACTACACATCTTGTTTTAGAGAAATTGCAGTAGAGGTAGAGAAGGGACATCAGACCTGTATGATCTGCACTAATCATTTTAACTCCTTGATAAAATGTCCCTTCAGAGAATTAAAAACATGATCGAGTTTAGCGTTGATGAAAAATGAGGAAGGCCCAAATGCAGGACTTCTCAAATATGTCATCAACGCTGCACTCAATCATGTTTCTAAGTACTCTGCAATAAATAACAGTTCGATGCTCTAAAACTCTACTATGGACTAAGCACTGCCATATTTTTGTGGAAAGTTCTCTTGCTTCATATTATATTGTAGCACACTTTCCACTTCCTTTTATCTTAGTCCACCCTGTTAATCTAATTTATTGAAGTACTGCTGGAAATTTTGTAGTAGTACATTTGAGTATGAATATATTCGTACTTCTTATTTTAGCTCTCTCTCTCATATTGTACTTGACTCTACGACTCATTTGCAGTAATCCTTAAATTGTACTAGACAATTTGTACTGCTGTTACTGGAAATCCACTTGTTTTTTTAAAATTTGTTTTATTCCATCCCATATCGTAGTTCGACAAAGTAAACAACCCCACACAAAATGACTTTGCAATCCTGCATTTGTTTTTGGGGGACTATAGGTTCCAAAACTTGATCCAGAGGCATGTCAGTGAAATCCCAACATATAATTCATGTGCTGATTTACTCTCTAATATTAGACCAAATACAATAAACAACCCGTAAAGTTATCAATCAGACACCTAAAGTATGCCTCACAAAAATATATTGAGCTATCAACAATATAATCTTAAAACAAAAGAGAAGGAAGTACTGGGGGAGGCAAAAATAAATAAACAAAATCTATTAGAACCAGCAGAACAGAATGGTCCTGTATGGAAGAAAAAACTTTCGAAATTCACGTCCTAAAGAAGTTTATACTCTTCTACTTGAGATTTGAATTCGTCTAAGATCAATGCATGTTACGAGAGACATTTGTCGTATGTATTCAACCTGCTAAACAAATGACAATAGCAAGCTGACTCCAGAAGTTGCTTGGTCCTGAATGCATATCCCAACATTTAATCCTGCTCCGAGATGTCCATTGTTCAACTCTCAAGTCTTTCAAAAAAGTAGAGGTATCCCATATCCATAGGGGGGTTTTTTGAGACCCCAACTTTTTCATCGTTGAAAATCACCCACCGGCCATCTTTGTTAATATGAGCGACATAATGGCCACAGTGGGTAGATGTGCCTATGTGGCTCACGAATCCCAGGAGCCTGTATTCTGTTAATTATCCAAAAAGATACACTTGGGTCAAGACTCAAGTGGGCATAAAAGAATATAGAAGTAAACCCAAATCTCACTATCAAGGACTGTGATGCATTGAATGAAATTCATAATAAAATTGAAGTACTAAAACGCTTTTAAAGGGATGTAGGGAACTTTCTATCATCCTAAAACTTTAGATTAGTTAGGTCAAGTTCCAATAGTCCTTGCTCTTAAACGTTCCGAATATATGAAGTGATTCAAACAAATACTGATGGATTTTCTCTAAAAAAGAGTTCAAATATCAAAATTGCAAAACCAGAGAACAGGACCCATAATTTGGCTTTGAAACTAATTTGCAGCCCTCAAAAGATAAATGATTTTAGTGAAAGCAACTGGATTAGAAATTAGTAAAATGGTTTTAGTGAAAGCAACCGGATAAGAAATTAGAAGTTTAGATCAAGAAAAGAACGTGGGGCATCTATATTGACCATTTCCAACCACCAGAAAGTAAGAAACCATGGTATGGAGTTATGATCTACCGTAAGTTGGAGGTGCAATAGTTGGAAACCATTGTTGCCCCTTAGAGGAGAGAGGGGAAACAGCTAACAAATCACAAAAAGGAGAAGAAAAATAAACATACTTCTAACCACACAAGTGGTGGTAAAGAATTTTGAAAGGAGAGCGGAAGGAAACTAAACTCGAGTGTGAATGACGGAAAAAATAATTAGACAGTAAATACAGCATTCCACTTCTAAAATCCATTACCAAGATGATTAAGCCCATGAGAAGGTGAGCCAATATTGGAAGCTCAACGGAAAAACTTTAGTAGAACTAGCATACCATTCTATATATAAAATCCTTAACAAAGCTGATTAAGCAGAATCAGAAATATGGAGAGCCTAAAGAAAAACATATTGTAGCAGTACACTACAGAGGCTCCTCACCTACATCACTTAAGAGAAGGCTAATGTCCACTGCCTCACAGATTTGGTAAGAATATATCATCAGTTCCAAATAAAAGCAACAAAGCTGTACAACTAGTAGAACCAGAGGATAGGGAACTTACTTCCTCCTCCATCAGGCATCAAGGTATCAACTGCAGCTCCACTACTGGTAGTAACATCCATGTCTGCTGCAGTACTGGCACTAGGGCTGCTGAATATCCATTCAGTAGCTTTTTCAACATCACCTCCCTGATGAGCAGATAGAAACAAGGAATGAACAAACATTATGCTATTGGCAGTGAATAGCAAGGAACCCCACAGTGAAATAGTAAACGCCAGTAAAAGTGAGATATTTACCGATGCCTTCAGGGCCTTATGGGCAAGTTTCTCTTCGAAACCAAATGAAACCAGCGTATCAACTTTAGATTGATCAATATCAGGATTTTGCACGTTTTCTGATATAGGAGCATCAATATCTGGAAAAAAAATATGCATCAAATTACCCTGTATCTAGTTATGGCGAGAAATATGAGTAAACCCTGCTTGAAAGCAAACATTAAAACTACCTGGATCATTCATATGATTAAGTAACCAATCCATTGCTGCCTCTACTCCACTGTTGGAAGTATTGATAGCAGCCTTCTGACAATGAAGTAGATTAAATCCCATTGAAACAAGTTGTGCAACAATATCATCGTCAGCCAGAAGCTTTATTGACTGCTCACCATCCCCTGCAGCTGTTCATGGACAAGTAATCCAACATAGCAGCAATTTAGTACTTGCAAAACATGACCCAAAAGCTTCAAACCCTAAAGGAACTTGGCATACAAGTAGCACCTATTGCTAAAACTTCTGATGTTAATTAACTGATGATCATTGATCATCATTGATCACACACCCACTAAAAAGCTGTTAAGACAACATCCTTAGCTTTCAGATACCCCAGATTTGGAACAAACATTAGCTGGAGAGTGAGAAGCAACACCAATTACTCACTTACTAAAAGAAACTATTCCCTGAGCAGGAATTAGATTAAATAGCAACTGGAATCTATTTCATGAACTACGAATTTCTGAGGTATATACTGTCGGTTAAATATGGCTCTATGCATACAGAACTCTATCCTGTCGGCTTTTGCTACTCCCATTCAATAGACAAACTAGAACAGAAGAAATATTACTTCCAAAACACTACAACATAATTGAAAGTCTTCAAGTTGACCGCATAACAAAACCAGAGTCAAAATAAAAAATAAATTAGATGCCAAATCATTTTTTACATGTATCACCGGACGAACTAAATAAGCTAAGTTCCAATGAATGTTCAACTTTATCTAAACAGACACAACCTGATTAAGCAATTAACAGATTGGTTGAGAGAAACTAATGCAAGCTAAAGGTCAAATCTTATGATTCAGAAATAGACCACTTAGCAATGTGTGAATACAGACAAAAGAAAAGAGTCACAAACTTCAAACACCCAAGGAGAATGAGACTCATAAAAGTCTCCCCAGCTCATATGGTACGTCCTCCCCACCCAAAACAACGACAAAAATTTTTTACAAGAAGAATTCCACACAACTATTTTTTATTTCCAAAAAGGTTTTTGCCACACTCATGTCCTCATTATTCAAATATAAGAGTGACAATCAAATATTCTTGAAAAAAATTGAGTAGCTAGAAAAGGGACGCAAGGCAGAAAACAACTTCTGCGACAAGACCAGATAGACATGCTTATATTATTCTTTGCAATAGAGTACTATTTGGGCTGAAATGGAAGACAAGACATTATCTACAAGATCACTATGAATTTAGTAAAAGACAAGGAGATTCGTACCACTGTCAGGCAACAGCTCTTCTCCTGGTTGAATACCATTACTTCGCATGCTACTTATGTCAATGGTTTCAGGGACATCTATGTAGACATCTAGAAGGACCATCAGAGAAAAAGATTAGCAATATAACAAGATAAACTACACATTAGAATTACATCGATGAAGAAAAAGTAGCATACCGAGCTTCTTTGGCACCCAACCTTCCTCCATAACAAATTTCCGCATGTGCAAAACCAGATAATCTGGAAAAGAAGTCAAACCTGCAGTTCTATTTACAAACAAAATTAAATAAGATAAAAAGAAGTGGCCTCATCAAGTACGACAGTCGAGCAAATAGATAAAGCTGACAGACACTAGCCATCCACTGCTGACAGACAAGACATCTATAATTTCTACAGCCAACTGTGTAAGAAGTATGGAAGCCAAAAAGACGAGATATTAGGCCCTACTAAAACAACAGACGAGGTGCAGGTAAACTAAATTTGAGATGCCACAAGCAGAACAAGAGAAAAATTGAAGAAATAACTTCATAGAGGAGAATAACAAGATTACTTGATTGCTGTAGTCCTAGCTGTTAAAGCTGTGCTGTAGAAATCATGCACCTCCTCAGGAGCTGAAAAGCAATCTAGGCAATCCTTCAATGATACTCTAGGGCGAACAATTTCATCAGCAGACCTGCAAAAACCCATACATTTAGCTGAAGTACATGAAAGGCAAGCATGTATTGGTCACTTGAAACTCACAGTTCTTTTCCTCCTGCAGCTCTCTCAGCCTTCAAATTTTGAAATTCTGCTAGCTCTTCTGGAATTTCATACAAAACAAAATATCACAATGGAGGCAGTATTACTCATTAATATCAAGCTCAGCTGAAATTTTGCAATGAACAATATATAAGAAAATGGCAAGAAAAAAGCATTACATAAGAGAGAAAACTCACTTTTATTTATAGCCCTCTCCAAAGGAATATTAAGAGACAGAATATAATCATTCCTTCTGTTGTAAGTGACTTTGCCCGAGGAACATTGGAGGCGTTCTTCAATACCAAACTTGAAGCTCCTTGATGGATCAAAATTAGGTGTCCCAGAGTTTATCCGTTCAACTTGATCAATAAAATGCAGGAAGAACTCTAACGCATCCTAGACATACGTTGTTATCAATAAACCACAAGAATAACAATAG